GCAGTGAAAATCATTAATAGACAATCGTTCGGTGGGCTGAATTGCACAAAACGCATGATCGCACCGACTAGTCTGGTGTGCGTTGCCATTTGTTCAATTTAGAAAGATGAAAATTACGGTGCTGAAGTTTTCTTTTGATTACCCTGTAAAAGCATCGGCGTTATTGGTGGCGCTAAAAGGGAACATTTAAGTTTTCACTGGAATTTTTTTTTTTCAGATGGAAGTGGATGTGAGCAAAGGCGGTCGCTCTCCACGACCACGACGATCGGGCGGTCAATCGACTACGGCTCCATCGCCAGAAGTGGAGCTATATATTCATTTGCTTGTTCTACTCTATCTTGTGGATCAGAAAAAACTCGACGACGCGGAAAAGGTGGTTTTTTTGTATTTGTAAATTTGAAAAAGAAATAAAACTTCTGAAAACTGATCTTATTACCTTTAGCAACTGCAGTTTGCTTACTAGTAGCGCTACTCACTTGCTTTTCTCGGCAATTTTAGCCATCAGTTCTTCGTCAGTCTGTGATAATCGCCCGAACGGGACTCTTGACATGATAATCGTCCGAACTTTGTACATCCAGATATCTTCGCAATCGTTTCGGATTTAGAGCTCATCGGCGATCACTTTGTTTATATAATTTGGGCTGATCATTTAATTTATTCGGTATGGGCTGTGTACGGAGGTCATTTGTATTGTTAGTGTGAAGCTTTCTCTCAGGATGACCCATAAAATCGATGTGAATCGTCCGGGATGTCGATGCAGAGTTTCTGATGTCATTGAAATGTAGCCTTTTCGTCAATCAGGACACTTAGTAATTTTAGTGCGTGGAAATGCTCATCTCCCGAATCGATTACCACGAGAAGCGTTCGCTGGATTCGATTGCCGCAAAGGCATATTTCTATTTATGCCTGATTTACGAAACGAAAAATAAACTGGATCAACTACGAGCGTGAGTCCACATTGCCGTTTTCGGGATTGGTTGAGACCCCCCGTTCGGCTTCTGTTGCCATCTTCTCCCAGCCGGTAAAATATCTCGTCCCGATCTGGGAGTAGCATCGTTCGTGCTTTATACTCAAAAAACACACAAAGACACACACACACACACAAACACAAAGGACATCTCGAAATAACTAAGTTCTAGCTAGTTACCTTTCTCGAAAAAGCTGCTGAGCTAGTGTGCTCTTCGGAAGACGAAACGAACGTTAGGATTGCCAACAGGCTATCGATGCAGCGTTAGTTAGAAATACTGAAGAAGTTATCAGTTGTATAACTAGGGAAAAGGATGCATTTTACGGCTGATTCGATATTTGTATGACTTTTTACAAGTAAATTCTTTAAACAGCCTTCTTCTGCGATTAATTAATCTGTTTTAGTACCGGAGTTGTGCCGTCAGTACGAATATACATTAGCAGGGCAATTTTACTGTCCCTGGCGGTCCATATAACAGCTTTTCTGGCTCATCTTTACTCTGCCCGTTATAATTCCATGTTGGTGCTCAGATAAAACCTTCCATCTTACTGATGCATTGCTTTTTTGTAGATATTTGAATGGCCGTTTACGTACAGCCACACTTCGTCGACAGTACGATTCACAGGCAGTGCTGATTGTATGCCTTCTGCGGGCTTATTTACTTGGAAGGCACTACGAAGCTGCTGCTATGCTCGTTTCAAAGGTTAACTTTCACACTTTGCCGCCATTAGTGACACTTCAGCCTTTAGATGATCTCTTCTTCTGAGAATTGTACGTGAAACAAGCTGAACTTATGTAATTCGTGGGCATGCGAAATCTATCTACCACCTGACCAGTTTAGGACGGTTTTTCTTCAGATGCAGTAACAGCACCATGTCGTGGCTGTTCATGCTATGCGTCGTAGATCCTTACATTGGGATGATCTTTGGGGGTTTTATGCGTTTTGTGCTGTGTGACAGAGTTACAAAACGCATATTGTCACGGAGTTGTCTGTGTGTGTATTTGTGTGTATGTGTGTGTGTTTGTGTATGCGTGTCCCACATTTTGTCCCGCACTTTCAACTCGGGAACCACAAAAGCTAGGCGGATGAAATTTTGGTATAGTGTTCCCTGCCAACGGGTGGCGCGGCAAATTTAAATTCAGCCTTCCCGTACCCGCGGGTAACTTGTACGGCCCCGTGAAAGTTTTTTACAGGTAAATCAATATCTCAGGAACCACGG